AAAGGCTATTCAGGAGAAAGACAGTGTGGAGTGTTTGTTCATGGCCTATATACCCTGATACAGAGTGGAAAAGGCAATGATGAATGATGTCCTCACGCTGGGATCCTACGTTCCCGCAGACACTGACTACTGACTGTAGTTGGGGAGACCTTGCTGATTCACAGTCACCTGATGATAATAATAAATAATAATAATAATTATAATAATAATTATTATTATTATTATTATTATTATTATTATTATTATTATTATTATTAATAAATGAATTTATAACGCGCCAGAATCCACACAAAAATGCTCGGTGGCGCTTACAACACACACACACATCCATACAAAAATGCTCGGTGGCGCTTACAACACACACACACACACACACACACACACACACACACACACACACACACACACACACACACACACACACACACACACACACAAGCTCTAAAGCTCAGAACCACTACGACATGCATTTTTTTTAAAGACAGATATTTCAGATATAGAGTTCCAGCATTATAAATATACTTTCCTCAAAAACGTTGTCTTCAACTTTGATTTAAATTGATCAATTGAAAGAGACATTTTAACATCTAAATCCAAATTGTTCCAAAGTTTTGGGGCACAGATGGAAAAGGCCCGTTCACCCAACATTGTTCTGGGCCTAGGCATGCAGAGATAATGGTCACAACTCTTATAAAAATTAAGTGTTGAAAGAGGCGACAAAACTAGGCTACAACGTACGACCATGCTAGGTCTGGTTTCCATCCTCTTTTTTACACATTCATTTTTCTCCTTCTTAAACCTTGGGCATTTGATCCGACATTGAAATTAGTTTTACTGTTATCCCACATTCGACACTTTCTCTTATTTCCCTACCACCTCACTGAAGTTTTCCGCTTCATATTTGTACACAACATTTGGAAGTCAAAAGGAATTTGTCTGATATTCATTTCTAGAAAAATCCACAGAATAGTTTTGTTTTACACAGCGCGTAAAAAACAACCCATTTTCAGCAATGTCCCCATTTTTGTAGCATGGCGCACCAGTTTGCATTAGGCCTACCACTAAAAATCCCAACGATTGAGCCATATTGCATACTACAGTAGTCTAACAGGCCAATAGAAGTTTGCAGATAGTTTTTCTCAAGTTTCTTTTTGTCAGCTGAGATCACGGTTACGATTAGTAAAGAGTAGAGAGCTTTTTGTATTGAACATTTCCTCACCACCAACTCATTTCGTAAGTTTCGCACAAGGTACAGAAATAATGTTTAAAGTGGCCTTAATGCCTTCTTTGATGTCAAGGGTGGAAATTGTTCATCTGTTAGTGCCTGCAGAGAATCAGAACTAAACATTCCGAGACAAAACGACCATTTCAGGTCAAACACACACCATTCGCACCTCTTTAAACGTAAGCCGGGTGCAGAATTCAGTAGATGAGCCCCATGTGACGTCTGTCCGTAGACGATGTCTACATCAATGAATATCCTTCATCTCAACTGTCCGCATTCTCAAGGAAGATTTTCATCTACACTGTACCATTTTCCCGTTCGCGAAACTATCAGAGGGTAGCAACGTGTTCATGATTCCTCAATCGTCTTGAAAAGCGTGAACATTTCCTCTGTGACATTTATTGGTTCCTTGGCAAAGCCCATTCACCTTTCAGGTTATATCAACTCCACAAACGCTGTCTATTTGAGCAACCTCCCCTCGCCCCCTATGGTCTCTACAAACAGCTCCATACTGTAACGTGTACAGTATATGTGGCTTTGAGAACTCATGCTTGAGTGGATCCTTTTTTGGGAGGCCACCATTGAACATTACGAACGACGCGTTAAAATGTGTCGAGTCCAAAGGAGGACATATGGACCATTTGTTCTTGGAATTCCAGAATTATACCCCCCAAAATTAACTCTATAGGAGAAAAGAAATATTGTTTAATAAAGGTTATAGGATGGAAAAATTAGATTTTAAAAATAAAAGGAAAAGACAAAATCAAACCAACCATTTCATGACTTCCCTTACGAGATCTTTTAAATTGGCGCATTTTGCATATGTAGGTTGTTTTATAAAAGCAATTTTCGTTTTCAAAAATATGTTTCTTCTTTGCGAATTTTATGTCAAACAAATTTCTTTTGAATGAATTATATCTTTTCCAAATTGCAACATTCTAGTACAAATTGTGTGCGACATATTTTTTTGTAAAGTTGTACAGTTTTTGGGGGTTTTATTTTATTTTATTTTTTTTTAATCAAGGATCAACCATAATAATATGCAAAACACAAGATTTCGCTAAAATAATTCATCTAAGCTTAGTTTCAAGTAGGTCACATGTATTTCAATTAAAACATTCATAGCAAATGTATATTTCCCTGAGCACAGTTATCAGGATGGATATCGTGACAAATAAAATGTTTAACACCGTACATTTATTGGCACTTCTTGTTTTTCTTTATGCGGCCTTGAAAAATACTTCTGTGTCCATGTCCAAGTTGCATGGCTCTACAGGTTGTTTTTTAAAAATTGTTTTGTCGTTTTGTTTGGGGACGGAGGGGTTGTGTGTGTTTTGTTTTGTTTATTTTTGTTTTTGTTTTTCTGTTGTGTGTTTTTTTAGGCAGATGTAAAAGCAAGAACCGCCAAGGCAAAGTCAGCATTCAATCAATTATCAAATGTCTGGAAAGCAAGCAACATCTCACTGCGCACCAAGATTTGACTTTTTTATTCCAATGTCAAGTCTGTTCTCCTCTACGGCTGTACTGTGAAACTTGGAAGACAACAAAGAGAGTGCTGAACAAAGTCCAGACTTTCACCAACAGATGTATGAGGAGTATCCTAAGAATTAAGTGGCAGGATAGAATAAGAAATGAAGAGCTGTGGGAAAGGACAGGACAAAAGGATATAGAATTTAAAATAGAACTAAGACAGAGGCGATGGATGGGACACACCTTCAAAAAGCCCAACGGAAACATCATAAGACCGTCGATGCAGTGGAACCCATAGGGAGCACGAGGCAGTGGTAGGCCACGAGAAACATGGAGATGTGTGGAAAGAGACATGAGAACGAGCTAGGAAGGATGGCCCAGGACAGAGATAAATACGAAGAGCTTGTATGTGGCCTATAACCTGCCAAGAGTGAAAGGCATTGTTGATGATGATGATGATGATGATGATGATGATGATGATGATGATGATGATGATGATATACATGCATTTTGATGATGCTGCCCAGTTGGAATGCACCGATTTAAAACTTTACAGAATAGATTAAGTGGTGCCATCGGATCTGGGCAATCACTGGGAATAGACAATAGATTACAACGCTGCGAAACCCATCTCAGAGTCTGTTGTACCGTTGTTTAAATTTGTCACACTAACTATATCTATCTCATAATAATGTCTGAGCTCTCTCTTTAATCGACTGTCTTGTTTAACTGCCTTGACTGAATAAAAGTTGGCTTCGAACACTTAGAATGTGAGCACAGTCAATATTCCAGTTAAAGTGTCAAAAAGAATGACTGATCAGGTAGGCCCAATGATCATAAATACGTTCTTTGGTTCGGCCAAACAGATTAGTAACAATGTATGATTCTTACTTTTTATTTCCGCGTATATATTGACTGGGCATGCTGTGTAATTCACTGAAAGTACGTCATGGTTGTTCTGAGGCCTTCTTACATGCCAGATCACCCGTTGAAAAGACCTTGGATCTTGTCGAGACAGGTAAAGTTATGTTTTAAGAACACTTGATCTATTTATATATTGTTTTGACATGTCATGCACGTATGCTTAAACACAACAATGATGGGATCAATACTCTTTCAAGCAACACGAATGCTGTAAGCTCTCTAGACAGGATAAAGCGCTTGACATACTATTATCAATAACTTCAAAGTCTGGTCTCTCTATGCGAAGAGATTTGTGAGGTGGGGGCGTATGCTCCCCCCCCCCCCCCCCCCTTTCTCCCTTTACACCGCAAGACAGCCTAGGAGAACTAGAGTACTTGCCAGAAGCTTTTTAAAAAATATTTTTAAAGTACAACCCAAAAGGTTTTGTTTCTTCTTTGTGTTGAAATATCATTGTATAGATTACTTATTCAAGTTCTCGTAGTCAATGTGCATTATCGAACAAAAGTAAAATAACAATAATGATAAGAATAAATCTAATAATAATGATGATAATATTTGTAATAATAATCATTATGATGATAATATGATAATAATTATCATCATTTATATAGCAAATATCCACGCTAAATAGTGTGCTCTATGCGCTCTACAACTATTTCATGTACATGTATTACATGTACTAAGCTTATTATTACCCCCCCCCCCCCCACAAGCAGACTCTATATTACTCTAGAACAGTGGTTTTCAAAGTGGGCGACAGTTTGGGGGCGCTGTGGCGAAATTGGGCGATTGGGGGGCGGTAGTGGGCGTTAAGGGGGCGGTGTGAAATTTTCATGGAATGTAACAACATAAAAAATTGTGAAGAGAAAGAAGCCACATAAAAAACAAAAACAAAAACAAAAATTGATAGCTTAGGCATAGTTTACAATACGACTTATTACCAAGAACTTTCTTTCCCAGCACGCAAAGCCCATATAAAGAAGATTCATCCCGACAAATCTTACCGAGATCTAGCATACTTCAAAACTCTAAAGATCAGTTTCAGAAATGAAAATCAGTTAAATCGATGTTTGCAGCCGGCGTCGATCAAGCTGATGAAGGCTTCCGAGCAACTTATAATTTATCTCTGCTAATTGCAAAAGCAGGCAAACCACGTACTATCCGTGAGGACGTCATATTGCCTGCGATAAGAGAGGTGGTGAGAACAGTCTTGCACCGTGCCCCGAGCCTGTGTTGAAAGTTCTTGACACTAAGTGGATGGGATGGCAGCAAATGTTCAGGAATCATTGTGCAAAATGCTTAAAGGACGTGAGTTCAGCCTTCAACTTGATATCGGTTCATAGAGGGTGAGGAAATAATGCAAGAATTGATATTTGCGAAAATGTTGGAAACAGATACCAAAGACGAGTTCATTTTCAAAGAGGTCCAAGAATTTTTCGAGGAGAAACAGACCCCGCAGACCAATATAGTTGCCTGTGCAATAAATGGGGCACCGTCGATGACAGGTCGGTACCATGGATTTATGAGCTTCTTGAAGAAATCAGTCCCTGGTGGCAAAAAAAAACCTGAATGAAAGTCTGCATGACACACTGGCCGTTGTCATCAAGTGTGTGAACAAGATCAAAGTACACGCTTTGAAGTCGAGATTATTCCAACAGCTGTGCACTGAAAATGACGACAGGGGGCTCTCGTGGCCTAGAGGTTAAGGTGTTGGCCTCTCATTCAAAGGTCCCGGGTTCGAATCCGGGTAGCGACCGAAAAATTTTCTTCTCTAAAATTGTCTCCTTTCACCTCCTTTCCTACTCTCTAGCAATGTTCTGTTGTCTGCTTTCATTTCCACTTTCTGCCCCCACCCCCTCACCTCCTTTGCCCCCTCCTCTGGGCTCCTGACTCTTTCTGCAGCCTTTCTACTGCTACTCCTTGGCTCCTCCTTACTGCTGTCTTTCTGCCACACCCCTGATTTTCTGGTAGGAAAGATCTACACCTAGCCTTCTCGGACAAGGGCGAAAAATCTCGGAGGGCCCGTGTGCAAGTTGCGCACGTTAAAGATCCCTTGGTGGTCTAAAATCGATAAGAGTAGGCTTCGGCCGCCACCCGGGCAAAAATTCAAAATTTCCTGCCAACTGAAAATATTAGGTGTGTCCCGCGCGCTCATATGACCTTATGCAGTTGCGAGCGCCGTAAAAACACTTTACACCAAAAAAAAAAAATGAAAATGACGAGGACTTTCAAGGCTTACTTTTGCACACTGAAGTCCGGTGGCTCTCAAAAGGAAACGGTTTAACACGATTATCGTTCTGTCTGTTTGACTTTGTGCTGGAGTTGTTGTTTTGTTGTTGTTGTCGTTGTTGTTTTTCAAGGAACAGACAGTGATCTCTCCATAAACTGAAAGAGCACAAGAACAACATTGCATTCCTCACAGATCTTTTCACAAAGTTCAACCAGGTCAACTTGCAGCTGCAGGGGGATGACACCAACCTGATCAAGGCAAAATCCATGCTTTCGTCATTCTTGTCGAAATTGGAAATGTTCCACCGAAACATTGGCAGAAGAGAATTTGCTCAGTTTCCTAGCTTGACGGAGACATTGCAAGAAGGGCGGGTTTCTGACGAGGAACTAGAAATATATACCAACCACCTCAGAGATTTGCATGCTGATATAAAGACAATGTTTACTGATATCTTTTAACTGGAAATTCCAGACTGGGTACTGGACCCACTCAACACTGGAACAGATGGTGACTTGGCAGTGGCTATTGAAGAAGAGCTTCTGAAAATGAAAAGTGATTTTGAAATCAAACAATTGTTCAAGAAGTCGAACCAGTCATTCTGGTTGAAAACTGTTGTCCAAGAAAAACCCTCCCTGTGGGAAAAGATCAAATTGTTGCTCATCGCTTTTCCCACCTCCTATCTAGTAGAAAGGGTATTCTGTGCAGTGACAAGGTTGCTGACAAAGCAGAGGGAAAAAACTAAGGATCACAGAGCTTGGCAATTTGCGTCTGCTACTGACCAATCTGAAACCCAAAGTTGATTCGTTGGTTTCGTCTCACCAGGTCCATCCTTCCCATTAGGGCAGTGTCAATGACTTATTTGTAAATGCTTACTCCGTAGTTTACCCTTCCTTGATACCTCAATGTGTCTTTTCTTTTTTGTGTGGCTTTTCTTTCTTCTTTTTTAAAAAGCAAAATACTCACTTGTTTAATAGAGTTTGTTATGTGCATGTGCCGCTACTGCTGATGAAACTGATGATGGTGATGATGATGATGATGATGATTACGATGATAGTGATAACTACAGACTAAGATCCATGCATACTTTTTCTTTTGTGTGGTTTCTCACATTTGTACAACTTAATAATATTTTTATGTTCTACAATTGAGATATTTGATATACAAATCTCAGGCAACTTTATTGCAGCACCTTGATGGGAGAATACGTTTCATAAAGATAATGTCAATTTGTTTTCAAACCAATTATCACTGTTGTGGGGGGGTGTTGATGTTTTTTTTTTTGCTGGGTTTTTTTATTGTTGTTGATTTTTTTTTTTTTTGGGGGGGGGGGGGGGTTGTTTTTGGTGTTTTGCTTCTGTAAATGTAATAATACATGTTTTACTTTTATTGATGTAAAAAAAATACTGGTCGTTTAATACCAATGACAACTATATGCATAAAATGACAGTATTATGTTCTCAATACCCTTGCATAATATTGAAGAAAAGGTGTGTTTCATTATCTCTCGTACACACTTAATTTAAGACTCTGTAATGATGGTGATTTGTGACCCAACTAATATTCAAAACCAAATCATTAGAATCTAGGCACGTTATTTTGTACAGTGCTGTTTGAGCTCTCTCTTTATTTGCGATTGTTATCATATTATGCATGTCGTTATATCAGATTGATGGTTGGGGCGGAGTAGGGGGCGCTGGAACTCGGCTGGGTGAAAAAGGAGGTGGTGGGCGAAAAAAGTTTGAAAACCACTGCTCTAGAACATTCAAACCAGAGCTGTAAAAGTACCTTTATTAAGTACAAATTTAAGTACAATCTAAAATATGTACTTATGTACAGTAAGAGTACTTTCCTGTAAAATGTACTTGAGTTCAAGTATTTTTTTAAAAAGTACTCATGAGTACATTTTAAGTACTTTCTGCTAATATGCTAAAACACTTCAGTGCTAATGCAAAACATCACATTGAATAACATATCCAGTATATTTGACAAATGAGGCCATTTATTACTAAAAATGTAAACAGTATACAAAGCATTTGAATATACGCACTGAACGTAGGTGGAAATGGTCCGTGAAATTGAAAAAAGCAAGCAAACAGACGCAACTAGAGAGTAAGTGATATTATGAATAGAACTTGTTTGAGCAAGACAATATGATCAATGTAAATCAGTCAAAGAGGTCGGAAAGTAGGAAAAGTATCCAAATTGGAAAATGTAGAGACAAAGTTCTTTTAAGAAAACATAAAATTCATTAAAATAGCCAGCAGAGAAATGGAAAAGTGCGTTGAATTTTTCATTAACAAATCCTCAAGGAATCAACGTAGCCTTAAGCAAAAACCACCAAAAAAAAAGTTAAAAAGAAATTTAGGTAGCCTAAAAATTTTTAGATTTACATGAGAACTCAGTTCCAGTTTCAATTGATCATAACAGTGGTAAGACAGATTTTGGTGACACTGTGTAGTCCACTGCGCCCACGGCAAACCAAAATACATATAGTTTCCTAGAGTCTAGTAAGTGTAGTGTAACTAAAGATTCTTTACCACAGTGCTCGGCAGAAAGGAAAATACGGGATCTTAGCTGACGAAGCCAAGGAAGAATCTACAACAGTGACCCATGAACTGACGTGACCCCTGGGTGGGTTTATGCCATATTATGGCGAGCAAAGAGTGGTCAACCTTGATGACAAATCACAGTGGCATGGTGGCAAGAGGCATGCATACTCATTAGCCTATCGTGAGTCTCGAGATATTTATCTACGTTTATCCAGTTGCGCTTCCATCTGATTGAGTCCCCCCGCCTTTGTCGTTACGCACCATTACGTTGTACCACACCCAATTCAGGCTGTCTCGCAAATTCGGGAATAGAGAAAAACTGCCATCAATGGTCAGGGTTCACAGTTCAATGTGATCCTGCCTGGAGTGAACTTGTAGGCCCTACCCACCCAGAGAGTGACGTAAGTGTAGGTGGCGAGCTCAGATGCGAGTGCGATGTTTGGGGAAAAGAAACGCATCGGTCAGTTCACACCTCGGTGTGATCCCGTCTGGGGCAAACATTGTACCGTTTCATGGAGTTTTACAACTCTTGCGATCACATTCACGAGAGTGGCTGATCTTTGACGCGACGGGCCGTTGTTTGATCTCAACTGTTAACTCTTGGTTGATCGGCTGTATCCGCCCGGGTGTTTGTTCCGTAAATTATGATCAGAAATGCCGGCACTTACTCTTTCATCCAACCGGGTCTGTGTTGGGCTCTCGCGTGTCAGGATTCATGTTGAAGTCCTTTAGAGACATGTTCAGGGCATCTTAGTAGCCTTTTGTATGCGCCAAATTTACGAGAGAGAGAGAGAGAGAGAGAGAGAGAGAGAGAGAGAGAGAGAGAGAGAGAGAGAGAGAGAGAGAGAGAGAGAGAGAGAGAGGGGGGGAGGGGGAGGGGGGGGAAGAGACCCGCAAGTTGTCTTCTTCCACGTGTGGAAATTAAATTTAAAATACTCAAAATGTGGCGAGCTATTCTCTGCCAGAATTGGTCTCTTGAACATAGATCTAGTAGAAGCCACAAGAAGCCATCTGAATCCCCATTTCTTTTATTTAAGATAATGAAACATTCTATTCTGCAGATGATTGGTCATCGATAACTAATATTGAGGGACGGACGAAAGATTATTAGATCTATTGTTATTATTAGATCTATTATTATTATTTTATTATCATTATTATTTTTGTTATTATTATTATTACTACTACTACTTTATCATATAAGTGTGTTTGGCTATATTTCACCTTTGTATATAAAATCTATACGCCCATATATTATGTAGTTAAACCTGTCTCAAAGGAAGCCTGAGTAAGACGAAAACCTCTCATAACGGAATCTCCCCCTCCCCCTTGATAAATTCCACTATAATTACCGCTATACTATAAAACGGAAACCTGCTGTCTAACGCGGAAACGGAAAGAGTAATTCCTCCCCTTCCGATGGTTTTACCTATCTAAGGCGATAAATGCTTTGCCTACCCAGCCCCAATTTGCAACAAAACTACAATCAAGTTTAGTTCCAACTCCAACGGCTCTTACCAACGCTTACTGTCTTAACAGTATTGTAGGCGTTTGCTCTAACATTTACGCCATGCCGCCAGGCGAGAAAGGGGAGTTGGGGTGCGGTGCGACTTTTACATGATCAGGTTTGTGTGGGTGTGAAATCTCACCAGTGCATGTGAAAGGGCTCAAGTGGCGCTCCAGCCTGGAAACTTTCCTGGGTAGCCAGAGTCCGGAGGTGTGAAATTAGTTTGACCAATGCCTGCCGCCCTGATCGTATGGCTAGCAGAGGAAACAGTTCCTAAATTCGTTGTTACATGCCCGGGAGGGGTGGCATTGGTTGACTGTGGTTATAACAGCGATGGGTGGGATTACGGGCAGAAGCAAAGGAGATGTTCAATCCTTTCTGTTTTAATAAGGCAAACAAAGGACCTCTATGAAATGCAAGCACTGGTGGCAATGGATAAGTAGGACTGACGCATGACATTATCAGAGAGGCTAGGATAGCACTTGAGTGAGACGTGTGAAGTTTTGACCACTGTTTTCCGGGTCGGTTGCTAGCCAGATTGAGAGCGCAAAGCGGCTATCGTGACACTAGCCGATCGCGCGGGCGATCGACCTGACCCGACCCAATGCCATCCGCAATGGGCACCCGGTATAGGCTTCAGTATAGGTGCATTGGCATTATCAAAATGTGGGCTTCTCATTCTACAAGTTTATTAAAATCTCTTTTTATACTCATTTTAATCTCTGAAAGTGACAAAAGATATTGCGAGTATATGGCGAAACTAGTTCTATTGAAATGCCACGTCCACTGCCAAATCTCTAACAAGATTCCGGGTACATTCAACGAAATCGGATAAGTGTACACTGACCATAAGCCAGATCGCATCCCGCGCCAAAGCTGTGCATAGGTCAGCTACCACTCCTAGAACTAGAAGGCTGGGTGAGTCTTCTCGCCGAGGAACCGTGCGCGCGCGTGTGCACTGTGCGAACACATTCTGGTGCACTGAATGGGGGCGGGAGGTCTCAGTATTCGCCTACTTCGTTTGCATTCTGCGTCGCTCCTAACCAAAATGTGAATGCTTGCGCCTCAAAAATTTAGTCGATACTCCATCGCCTAGACCCGATATGAACACGTCTGGAAAACTGACACAGTAAACAGTACACATAATTAATTAAGATACACATTAATGGGAAAAGTGAGAATAGTTTAACATCCGCAAGCCACTTGCGAAAAGAAAAGGAAACAAGTACTGTAGCCTACATTACCTGACGTAGGAGTTATAAGAACCTTACTTATGTTTTTTCCATTAATAGTGTATTTTGATATTTTTACCACTTAAACTGTAGAATAAAATACAAGTGTAGGCCACAACGTAGGCTACAATTTAATGATAACCAGATAATGTGAGGGGGGGGGGGCACAAATTATAATTATAATGACATCACCAGTAGGTGCACAAATTAGGACCCCAATCTTTGTATTATTATTTTCATTAAAAGTCAGGATACAATTGCTTTCATGTTCCTCTGTAGTTGATGATGTATGCATCGTCACGGCTGTGCAATGATGAATTTTTGCGATGGGGACGTGAACGCCCACTTCGGTTCGTGGGAGCTTCTTTCTTTTCCAGTACTTTTTTCCTGCAATGCTTCGACCTTAGTCTCACGTTGACAGCGCTATTTGCATAATGGAGTGTGCACTATATTTGAAATAAGTGATATTTTTTTCTTCTCTCGTATATCAATCCGCGTATGAGCATTTGTTCCACGTGAAATATTTATTGCATCAAGACTTTGTAAAATTGATTGTTTAAGCATTTATAAATTTACTGATAGTTTGTGTTGATGAATTGAGGAAGATTTAAGATAAAACAACGATGCCGACGGGAACTACTTTCCAAAATATCCTTCCATTGTGTGCTTCGCATTTCCTGTCTTGTGGTAAAACATCTCGATGTGTTAGTTCTGATATCTATGAATATTATTGTACTGTGGTCGAATAGAAAGGCCCTTTCAGAAAGATGAGCAGACAAAGATGATAGAGGGGTCAACCGATGAGTAAGTATTGCTTTCCAATCGACACAATATGGTTTAGATTTCCTGTACTTGCTTTCTTAAATCGGGGAAAGGTGACCGATTCCGCCAGCCAGCGCCTGACACTGACAGACATGGACGAACACAAGCTCCCGACCACCGTTATCTCTTTAGGCTATTAAATCGGTTAAGACTTATAAATTCAAAGCGAAATGTGTTTATTATATGTATTTGTTTCACTCAAACGCCTATGGACCTTGATATTTTAGGATATATGCGAGCAGTTGTTCGCTTCAGCGGCATTTGGACACGGGATGTGCCCTCTCCAAATTAGTCCGCCGATTGTTCATTCATAAATAGTTGTGAATGATAAAGGTCATGGCTCAGAGCGTGGAAAAAAATGCTTTGCAATGTGGTCATTCATGTCCACTCCACTTAACCAATAGGGAGACGTTAATGATATTGATAACCATTAATGTTATAACAAGCGTATGTTTGTTTTTCTATATTCATATCTTTATTTTGATCATGATTCTCAAATTTGGCCTAGAATCTAGATCTAGATCTAGAATCTAGACCTACTGTAGGCCTTAGCACATCAAATATTGTTAGATTCTAGGTAGGTAGAGTTAGAGTAGGCTAGATCTAGAATCTAGATATCTAGTCTAGATCTAGAATCTAGTCTAGATCTAGATCAAGATATCTAGGTCTAATCTAGATTCTAGATATTATGTAGATCCACACACTTTTACATCGTCTTGTCTTGGGAAAGTCTCCTAATAAGACAGTACTAGTGAAGGCTCGTTATTCTAATGAATGAGCACAAATGTCATCTATCTTGTCTAAGAATTCCATCATCATCATCATCATTTATCATTGACATTAGTGATTTAATTTATGTCAGGGAGTCTAGATCTAGATTCCTGAATGAGTCAAACTATCTGATGAGGAAGTTTCGTCATATATCATATATACTTGCTGGAAGATATTATTTATCTGTTGGGGTTTAAACATTTACGCAATGAATCAATTTTGGGGGGTTTGTTTTGTACCCATTTGGGGTCTGAAAGACTCGAGGCTGTTTTTGTAGGACTATAAATATGGCTTGTGTATACAATTTTTTTTTTTTCTCTTATGTATGGGAGTCAAAGTAGGCTAAAGGTTGTCATTTGACCCTAGCTCCAGTATGTTTTATGAGAAAGGAAAATAAACTATGCAGTTTAATTTTAATATATGTGATCTTTTTTATTTATCATAGCCAAACTTGCTATTGACTCCTGAGGAGATCTCATACGAAGCTCCAGAGAGCACCAAGCACACCTCTGTGATTGGCCCAGATATAGATGACGTATTTCCACCATCTATTTTTGTCGTCTTCTGGGGTTTCCCTCGCGAGTTGACTAAAAAATAAAGAATATGAGAATTTGATTGAAGACTTATTTTTTTTTCTTCAAATAACTTGAATCAAAATGAAGGTGACAAGTGTAATTGTAATTAACTGAAAAGTGTGTTAAATATATTTCTAAATATACCTATCATTGCCGTGTGTGTAAGTGTGTGTGTGTATCTACCAACGTGCCCATGTATGCATGTTTGAATCTTCCCGTTCCATTGTTCATGTGCGTGTCTTTGTGTGTGTATGTGGATGTATGTTGGTCTATGTGTGTGCTTGAGATATATATTATTTATATAATGTATTGAGAGTGTCTGGATTGGCTGAGCAATACCAAAATGTTTTCTAATTGTATATTTGTTATACGAAATGGCTGTAAAGATCATTATTATTATGATGGTGAAAGAATATTATATAATAAAGGGTGATAGAGATAGATCTTGTCAACTTGCGAGGGAAACCCAGGAAGATGTCAAAAGTAGGTGATGGAAACTCATCTAAGGGCCAATCTCTGTAGCTTCATGTGAACAAAAGTGGTTTGTTCTGTAGTTGGGTTGACCACTTGACTTCTTGCAATTTTGTTACCAAAGGTAAACAGAAAGGGATTGAGATCACACAGTAATGATAACAATTCTGCAGCTACAGTTAAACTCTTGCCTGTTGCCCATTAGGGGGAACCTGGAGATGGACTGCTTTGTGGTGTATTTGTGGGTGAAAAATATAGCAACTAAATTGTCCTCTTTTGTCCGTAGCATATATTTTATTCAAGTGTGGTCGTTTGAAAACGAGTAGTTCGGCTTCCCATTGACATTAATGAAACCAATTGGAATATTGACTGATGGCCGTGTGAAATGAGAAGTTAAATGTAGAAAGTGTGATATGCAAATTTTACAGGCTCTTGTAAAGGAAGGAGGTCTGTAACGTGCGACCACCCCTATAAACGCAATAAATACTAAATACTATTTAAAGAGACCTAACCCTAATTCTGGCCCAACCCCCTTACCCTACCCTTGCCCTTATCCCAAACCCTAAGCCTAACCCTCTATTCTACTCTTGTTTCATAGTGGTCGCTCATTACAGAAATCCTCCCCTAGTAATTTTAGAATTCATGGAAGTCCTTGGAAGTTTTATAGTTGTGAGAGAAATCCTTGGGAAAATTTAGAGCAGTCATCTGAATTTTGTTTTTAAGAGGTTTGCAATAGGTGTTCGGATGCATCTCATTTAAAGGGGCAGCAGTTTGTTTTGACCATGGTTTTTTTTCTGGTCTCCTGTGGCTAACTTCAAATGTCACAGCTTTATATAGTGGTGGAAACAGTGTATTTTTGCCACTCTAAGGGTGTACTGTACCAAAAACCAAACGCCAGGTCATAGGTGTATGCTGACTTTTTTCTATTAGTCCTGAAACTTTGGACATTTTGGTTTTTGTTACTTTGTCGTCTTTAATAATTGGAAACAAATAGCTGTTGGGGTCTCTCACAAATTTTCAAAAGATGATTTTCTCTAAACATGACAAGGTCATAGTGAATTTTCGGTTGTTGTTTTTTTATGTACTCTTTCAAAGCAATTCCAATCTTGAACCTTTAGATATGTACCTAGAATTTTTTTTCTTTTTTAAAATGTAGGTTGTGAAAGGTTTTTTTGTTTTAATCTTGTCAACTGTATATTTCAGTTTATAAATAATGTGCAGAATTTGTTTTGTGATGGCTTGTATCCCTGCTTGATGAATGAAGGATTACAGTATTTCATAAATTCACAGCCACCGGAAGGATTTTGCTGATTTGAAATATGCCTGGATAAACTAAGAGAAATGTTGAGGTTCGTTGGAACCAGTCTTTAGACATAGGGATTGGGGGTGTTGTCCCCAAAGAGCTATAAAAAAAAGAACATAAAAATGGAATTGACATTTCAATTGTGGGAGTCTATTGAATTTTGTCTCATTTTGGACAGTTAGAGAGAGATTTAAGATTATTAGATAAGTTGACACTTTATTTTCCCAGTGGGAAGTAGCACCTTGCACATATTTGGTGTGATCCTTTTTTTTTCAGCCAGAAAGAATTCAATAATATCAATGTTGAAACAGTGCCGGGTTAAGCATACTAAAAGAATCAACTGGGCATTATTGTTTTCTCTGCATAAAATATTCTCATAATGATAGTAACGGTTGCAAACTTAGTTTTGAATTAGCTTGAGAATAAATGTTTTGGGGTCTTATTAATTCTATAGAGCAATTGGCATACATTTCTTACAGCTTATAAATGTGCTTACAGTACAGTTGTGTCTAACCAACAACAACCCTCTTGGGAAGCAGTCGTTATTGATGTTAGACAATGACAATGGCTGCTGCTCGAGGGGAAGGGGGAGGGTCATCTTTGTCCTTATACGGGGTGCCCATTGGGAGATCGGTTTGGGTCGGCAACGGTTAATGCGGGTGATGCGATCACCCCCAAAATGACCCGATCCCATCCGCAATGGGCACCCAATATAATGAGTCCTAATCACATGATATAACGATGCTATTTTGTTATAAAATTGGAACAAAGGCAATGTCAGTGAGCTGATGCTTGATTGCTTGGCAGTAATGTTACACACAAATCACACAAATGCCGAGACTTCTCCAATCTCCTCTGGGAGAGACTTTGTAACATGGTGTGAACTGAACTATACTCGAAATTTCTCTCGAGCTGGTGTTTTGGGGAGATATACAAGAAAGGAAAGATGCACTCACATTGAGATTATGGGTCAATTCTGTTATTCACACGCCATAATTTTTCAGTCAAGACAGTTTATTGGGGGGGGAAAAAAGTTTTGGGTTGTTATTAAGTGGACACCACTGCATTACGTAAAATTTGACTTCTGATTCCACAAGAGCTTACTTTGTTCGTTTGTTGTTTGGCTCTAACCGTTACGCTGTATGTTCTCTGCCTTGAATTTTTAAAAAAATAAAAAAAATTTGGTGTCTTTCGGTGCTTACAACTGCATATGGTCACATGAGCGCACGGGACACATTATCACTTTGCGGTCACTTGGCGCAATAATGCAATGGTGAAAAATAGCCTTCCGGTCACCTGGCGCAGGAAAAATAGCTCTTCTGGTCACCTGGGGCCCGAAAAGTTCGTTGCAGTCACTCTCCTGGCAGAGTGACCAGATGGGGTGTTTTGTACTGCTGGCTGTGTGACTGCACAGTGTGAAAGTGGTAGAAATTCGTTTTGAATTTTGCCCAGGTAGCGGTCGAAGCTTACACTTATCAATTCTGGACCACCAAGGGATCTTTAAAGTACGCAACTTGCATACGGGACTTCCGAGATTTTTTGCGTTCCAAGAAGGCTAGGTGTTAGATCTTACCTACCATAAGATCAGGGGTGTGGCTGAAAGACAGCAGTAGGAAGGAGCCAAGGAGTAACAGTAGAAAGGCTGCAGCAAGAGTTGGCAGCCCAGAGGAGGTGGCAAAGGGGAGGGGGAGTGGGGGCAGAAAATGGAGGCAAAAGCAGATGGCAGATCATGGTGTGAGAGCTGAGAGCAGATCATGGTGTGAGAGCTGAGAGCAGAAAAGAAGGTGGAAGTAAGGAGGACATTTTAAAATTCCTGTCAGGTTTTGAACCCAGGACCTATTGAAGGAGAGGCGAACACCGTA